AGAGGATGCGAGAGTGCTGGTTTCAACCTTAGTGAGAATAAGAGTAAGATTCCCATTTTTTTTGCCAAGTTTTTTAAGGAAAGTGTGATCCCCACCACCTTCAAGAGCCTCGTGGAAAGATTGTGAAACATTGCAGGACTTATCGATACCAAAACCAGGCTCTGAACCTGAAAGAGGGGCAATAGCAGGAATAGGAAAGTCGCTGACAATGGCAGTTGCATAGAAACGAAGCGTCGAGGCCATCTCCCCCATAAGATGGCCACGGTCAGAAAAAAAAAAGCCACAAGGAAAGCGAGCATACTTCGGGCACTGTCTGTCGGGCAGGAGACACCAGTTGCATCGTATGGAGCGAGCGAGGAGACGACTGCGAGGGAGAAGAGTTGTCGACTAGGGGAGATGACTGCGAGAAATAATGTCGTCGTCTATGGGATCAGACGACGTCGGCTAGAGCGATCTTCGTTGACTATGGGAGACGACAGGGAGCGATTGACTTTGAATGCAGCCGGAGAGGCTGTGAGCTGCGCGTACGCCGTCGTGGGAGACGACGAAGAGAGTGGGAGAAGCCGATAGATTCACCGTCGGGAATCGTCATCAGGCGAAACCCTAGCAAAGTCTGTCGCTGTCGACACCCTCATCAATATTTGTATGTGTGTGTGTGTGTGTGTGTGTGTTAATTTATTTATTAACACACACAAAAATCTGTATATATCATATATATGTATATGGTTATTGCTTAGTTGAATTAAAGTAATTTCAAGAGAGCCGACTTTGAGTATAGTCTTATAGATTTCAACTTCAAATCAATCAAATTCGAGTAAATTCCGAGTTGTAAACACAACTATAGGTCGTAGGCAAGCTTCAATTGCTTTCGACACTGAAACTTAATAGTGCTCTAGATTAGAATTAACAATATTAGCACTAGACGTGCAGTATCACAATAGGTATTGCTCATGCCAATGTGGTTGGTTAAAATCAATATGGGGTATGATTTTTTGAATTTTGATGCCACTGGTTAGGCTCATGTTCATAATGCACCTCTATGTTTAGTGACACCTTGGTAGATTTGTAGGCAATGCATCCATTTATTTACAATGAACTAAGCTTCAATGAGATAATCAAATTTGCATACAGATGGATTGCTTCCCTCATTAATGTTGAATAGAAATGTTTAGGTCATCGTGTTCTTAGAAAGGTGTCACAAAGGAGTACTAGGTTAACACGTATATTTCTAGTCTAAACTTTGACTCGATGAAAGTAGTTTTTAAGCAATTCCACCTCATTCAAACAGATACTAAAAAAATCAGAAATCATCAGAATTATATTTTTTGGTGATACATTGGACAGCAAAGAGTCTGATCAACTTTAATATGTTGATGGCTCTATAGGTAAGGGAATAGATCCATGTTAAAGTTTCTCCATTGACTTTGATAGAGAATACTGGACAAGGGAGTGAATTTCTCGGCATATGAATATGCATAATGGTTCACATGCATGTAAGGATTGCTAGACCCATCATAAGTGCAATTGTGAACATCTACGACCACAAAGGGACATCATGACCTAGTAAAGCAACTAAAAAAGAGGAAGTGTTATGAAGGTTTCACTTTAAATAAATTGATTCATATCCCTCAAGTGAAACTCTTCTTGAATGAGGCATCATAATTTATCTCATATGAGATCGAACAGAAGACCTTTGTTTCTCAACAAAGTTATGTTTTTGGCTCACCAACGATATTATAAGATTAGGAAATATCTGATTCGCTATAGGCAAGTATGTTGAACTGGGAATATTAAATAGATTAACACATCTCACGGTTGAAGTTGAAGAGGTGGTGAAAGCCTGATCCAATGGTGTGATACAGCCATAAGGGTCTTCTTGGAATGACATTCCTCAATGCGCACCAAGTTGAGGGAAAAATTTTAGCAGTAACTTTGGAATGTGGTAATCCTATTTGATGGGATTCCCGGAAAAAGAACAAGATTTTGCATTGTAATTCATTCATATCATGCGCACAAACTTTCAAAGGAATATTAGTGCCTTCCTTCATGTTTCTTTGTCAAATAATAGGTGGAGCTGATGTTTGGCTTCATAATAATTGATAAGAGATTCCTCATTTGAGGTAAGACAGGGTAAGACCTCCATCTTTCACATATCAAGTCTCCTAGCCATGAGATGCACAACCAATGGGAGTGAGAAACTTACCCACAAACAATAAAAGAATTGTTATGCACCGACAATTTAAGTAGAGCTTTAGGGTACGACATTCACAAAAATCACATCCTAGACAGAGCGAAGGAAAAAAGTTGGGTTGACCCTAGGAGTGTTTCCCAAGAAAAGACACTCCGATCTTCAGTCAATAAGCGTACTCAAAGAAAAAGAAGGTTCGATAATGCCTTCTAAGAAAAGGGTTATAGATTCATTTTTACCTTCTATGGAAGGGCATTTATAGTTTTTTAGCAAAAAATTGGTTTTGTAACTTTTAAAGAGCTTAATAATGAATGAAAAAGACACTTTATTGTCGAAACACATGCTTGATAGAAATGTCCTTTAGTTGGTTCTTCCAATGTTTGGAGGTTAGTGGATCAAGACACCTTCTCCTTAAAAAGGAAGCTAGAACATCATACCCAAGAGTAATGAAAGGACAAATGGAGCCTCTAATGACTGAGATCCATATTTTTTGAGGTTCAAATTGGGTCAATGGATGGCTTTAAGATTGGTGTTTAGAGCAAAGAAAATGAGACCATTGGATATTAATTTAAGTTTCAAGATTGGTCGTGATTCTTTAGGTTAGATGAAAAAGCCATCACATATCTTAAGGTGACTTCATAGCACTATTTCAAAAGGACCACTACTTCATCCTGTCCTCGTTGCAAGGGGGTCATAAGAGCACAAGTAATGTTGCCACTATTTTGGATGATCAGGATCAATCTTTTTAAGATTTTCTAATGGAGGCTAAAAAGAGAAAGGAGAAGCTCTTCTATCCGCTTTCACCTATCCTTCAATACTTCTTCCACTATTTTGGCTTTCCCCATCAATGATGTTATAGTTCTCCTTTATCTCTACATCCACAAAATAGATTTCAAATCCATCACTACTTTTTCAGAATGAATCTTCCAATCATCTTTCTCCTTTAAGATGGATTACTCTAACTCTACAATACAATTGAATACCTCTATCTATTCCAAAAAATTTTGACTATCTAGCGTGCAGTTACTTACTACCAACTATTATTATTAATACACTATCTAGCGTGCAGTTACTTACTACCAACTATTACTACCAACTATTATTATTAATATTATTTGTGCCAAATAATTATGCTTAGTAAATTATTTTTATGTCATTTATCCTTCTTTATCAGTATGTCAATTACAAATGATAAGAAGGTTTTTTGTAAAGTATATAGTTTTTTCTTATTTTAATAGGCTGCCAAAAAAGCTCGTTGTTCGCGAAACCAACTCATGGTCAACTCGTCGTAATTGAACCGTTCGTTAAGTAAGCGAGTTGAACACGGACAAATTTTTTAAGCTCAAATTAAAACTAAGATGAGCACGAACAACCCTTTATTCGATCGTGTTAGATTGTTTTAGCTTGAAAGATATATATATATATATGTTTAAATCATCACAGTTCGTGTGGTTATGTGATTCCGCATCTTTTATACCATAAAATGGTGCAGATTTGAGTCCAACACACTACTTTCTTTTAATTAACGAGCCAACTTCGAGTTGAAAATGAACAAGAATATGTAAATAGAGCCAACCACAAGCCCAGCCTGAGCTTGCTCAAGCTCGGCATGTTTACAATTCTACAAATAAAAATAATAGGCCTAGGTTGCAATTCATTTAATTGGTGAAGAAAAAAATAAAAAGAAATTCTTTTGGTCTATGGGGACTGAATCATCCCTTCTAACAACAAGATTTCTCTTCTTTCTTTCTTCCTACCTTTTATCTCACATTTTTCTAGCCCTAACTCTTCTTCAATTTTTCTAGCAAGATTCTTTTTTTTCAAAAATCAGGGTAAATTATATGTGGTGTGGGGTCTCAAATTTAAGTGGTTCTTGATTTCTATTGTTATTTACAATAGGATGTAAAAGGAAATAGGATAATAGATTTGATAGGGAAAAAGGAGAGGAGAGGAGAGGAGAGATTGGAGAAGAGAGTGTTTAGCGTGTCTCGGGGGAAAGAGAGAGAGGGAAAGAAAAAAATGAGAGAGAGAGAGAGAGAGAGAGAGAGAGACATTATGGATGGGAGAGAAGTGAGTGCCATGGAGTCGGGTTCAGTGCTGTTTGCGTGGACAGTGGTGGATATCAAAGGTTATAAGGAGGCAGGAGACGGCTATACGAGGTTTTAGGGGAGGGAAGAATTTGAGGAGATGAAGCAAGAAAAGATTCTAAAAAGCCATTGAGGCAATCTCCAGTACTTCATGATAAACCCACTGGTCATATATAGGTGAAAAAGCCATTAAGGATAACTACAGAGAGAACAAAAAAAATCATTTTATCTGAACAGATATATCTAAAGAAATTAAATAATTATTAATGCATAAACCTACTAAAAAAAGCAGAAAATAATAATCAATTTCATCGCCAATGCCAAATTTATATCCTGACTAGATGGTCATCACCAAGAATAGCTTCGCAAGGGCCATTGCCAAAATGTCAAGCATCAGCAAAGATAGGCTGCACAGTAATTCATCAGAAAGTTGGAGCTTCATGAAAGATTAAAATATAGTCGATAAATATTCTGAATAGTTTTAAATTTTATATTTTCATGACAAGCGTTGACCATTTCATTGTAATAAAATGGAGTGTTGCAGCACAAATAGTTAACTGGAGCTATCTCGCAAACAGCAAACAACACTAATTCAAAAGTTAAACTTGCATATGAGCCAAAAGCCCTTAGTAAAGTAGCTCTTTAATAGCATAACTGTAATAATATTTAACGTGGAAAAACATTTTACATTACTCAAAAAATAAAAAGTAAAAAACAATTTATACCTTTGCATGAAGTGAATCATGCAGCTGTTTTAAGTTTGGTATAAAACTGTTGTTCACTTCTGTAGCCGCAGCAATGTGCATAACCTGAAAGAGCAAATAGGATACAAAATAACCATAAATCAATGAACCTTATTGATAAATTTAGAAACACAAAGGAGGAGGTCCCACATTAAATGAACTACACTGATATCTGGTGAGAGTTTTGCCTAGTGCAAAAGATGATCAAATGCAAAAGATAAAATGTTATCTACAAGATGAAATTAGAAGCAAAATACATAATGCCCAAAATTTGATCTTTTCGTTTATTTTTTTAGAGAGAGAGAGAGGGAGAGTATGTGTGTGTGTGTGTGTCTGTGAAGCCAAAAGAAAATAATTAGCGATAAGAAGACATTAGTGTTCAAAATTGGGCCAAACAAAGAAAACCATGAGAATTGCATGATTTAAAGTAATGTTTAATGTTTAAAATTATGCAAGTGGGTATTGAGGCATTTTTCATTCGTGAGGGGAGACGTCAGCCTCAAATTTAAAAATTTCACAAATTAATAAAAGTTGTATAAATTATGAAGTAAAAAATAACATATTAATATTATAATTAACACATTATAAAGTAATATAACAGCACTCTAGCTAAGCAAAAATTAATAAACTGTATAAAATTATGAGTAACACATGAAGATCTTACATCAAATTATGAAATAAATAAGTTATGAAAATATTAAACTATCAAAATAAGCTAAAAAAAATAAAATACCAAAATATCAAAACATAACAATCAAAATAAGTTCAACATTAATTTTTCTTTCTCACTCATACTACCCTCTGCTTAATCAAAAAAATAACAATTCATCAACGTTTGAACTTTATAATTTTGAAAATCTATATTATTCTCACCACCCAATTGATTTTTATTGCAATCATAGGCATAATAAACTTTTATCTCGCCACCTTATCCAGTCGTATCTATATTCTCCTACCGACTATTACTCATTCTTTTAATCCCATTTATCTTTTATTTTTTTGATGAATAATCATCAATAAAAACATTAAATAAAATAATAACTAAATTGATAGTTAGAACTTCACCTACATAAATTTTATGGCTACATTTTTCTTTTTTTTTATTATTTACTATGTGAGGTGTAAAGGTTAATAGAAGAGGTATATTAATATTATTTTTAAATTTGTTTAAAAAATTTGAGATAATTTTTGAGTCAAGGCAGCCGGTATGGCTCCTGAGTGAGGTGTACACCTCACTAAGGAACAATGAAATGTAAGCCTCATTGCGATTCTTTATAAAAAAACATTGAAGCAAGTCTTAAGATGTGTCTCATGTTGTGCAATTTTAAACAATAGTGTTTAGACAGAAAAATTCCATGCACCAAGATTAATTGCACATATAAAATGCAATAGGATAGCATTTTTACAAAAAATAAGATCAAAAGAAATTTTTGAGAGGGCTAGGAGTTGTGATGGGCCATCTAATGCCCCCACCACCCAAACACCAGTTATATAAATTAGGAGAAGGGAGGGCAATAAAAAAATGAATTTACCTCACCACCATGCTGTTATGTCAGTGCATAGCCTAAGGGCAATTTTATCTTTTGTGTGCCTAAGGGCAATTTAGTGTTTTATTATTTATTATTGTTTAGGATAAAAAGACCCTAATAAGTTTAGGATTAGGTATGCATTAGATTATTGTTATGAGTTCTAGATTTAGGGTTTAGAAGAGCCTTCCTACGACTCAAATTGTATGAAGTGGGAGAGATCATCTACCTCTCAAATTGTATGTGCTTATCTTTGTATTTGTGTTGAATGTTTGATGTTCTTGCAGTAAAATAGGTGTTTGCCTAATTTCTATGGGAAAATCCGTCTCCAATCCTATCACATGCATGTGTGGCGAGGGAAGAGGAATCTAAGGACATACAAGAGAAGAGAATGGAAGAGAAAAAAAATGGGGGAGAGAGAAATCCAAAGGAAAATCTATTCAACTGGTAAGTAGGGATTTATTGGTCCCACTCTTTAAGCTTATGAGAAGCAAGCCCAAGATTAAAGTGTGTTTTGCAAATAGATCTCGAATTAATATAATGGAGACCCAATGCTTAAACAGTCATAAAATAGAAAATTGCAGGTGTGCTTAAGTTTAATAATGCTAAACCTATATGCATGCTCGTAAAAGGTCTATAGGATTTGAATATTCATAATGTGACTATTTTGTATTTTGTAACCAACCTGCACTTGATTCATCCCTTACAGCAATGAATGTATTTTATATTGACACCAAGTTAAATGAGGTATATTGTTGCAGCAATAGGATCATAATCCCTTGAAAAGAGGACTTTTGTTATCCGTACATTATGTATTGTTTAAATTGTGTATAATAAAAAAGTTCAGCACATTCAGAACCAAGGACATTGCAGTTAACATTAAATGTTTTCTAGACATTTAAATTATTATTCAGTTCATATCTTGATCAATTGGTGCCTAAAGTGTTGATGACGGAAGCTCCATGCTACCCCACTTTGCTTGTTAATAGTTGTGTGGAAATGCTTCCAGAGTGTTGCAAAATTTGTGTGACCAAGGTGTATTTGTGTTTGTGAATATATGGGATGCAGCAAGGATTTGTGTAACTTAAGAAGGTAGTAACTAGTAACCATTGCAAATATTCCTCATGGTTGAAGAGCCACCATTGACCCATCGTATCTAATCTTGGGGCAAACATGCCCAACGGTGCAATACAGCGGGCTTAACAAGCAGTGGCATGGAGCGTCAAAATAAAATAAAACCAAATGGAAGACCTATGGTGGCAAATGAGTTGCATGCGGACAAAAGTCCCCACTATAGGGGAAACAAATGCATTTTGTTTTAAGAAGACAAAAATTTATCCTCATGTATTACATGTTAAAGGGGGGCACAAAGTTCCTCACAGAGAAACATAAGGGGGAACAACAAATGATGGACAACACTTCTTTTTTAAAAAAAATAAATGACAATTGAGTTGGGGAATAAGGGTTCGAACCCATGACCTCAAGGTCAGATAATGGACAGCACTTTAAAAAAAAAAAATAACAATTGAGTTGGGGAATGGGGTTCGAACCAATGACCTCAAGGTTAGAAATGAAGATATATACCTGACACAGGAGATATAGGAGATAAAATAGCGGCCAGGAAGACTTTTCTGGATTCTTCTACCTTCCTTTGTGTGGGAGTCTATAAACAGTAGTTTCTTGTGTGTAAGAGTTGAGTTTCGGTTGTCTTGTTCTCAAATCTCCTGTGTAGAGTCCCTTTCCCACTTGCTAAGGTTGTATCCGACGACAGGTGGTTTTCCGACTATATCCTACCCTGAGGTGGTGTTGTATCATTCCCATCTCCTCCACTTCTTCACCCCAACCCTTCTCCAACCTCTCCCCTAGCCCCCAACCACTCCCATGTCCCTCCACCACTCCGCCACCACCTCTACTCCCTCCACAACCTTGCTGTCAAGCTCACCTACAACCAACAAAATACCATCCCACCATACCCAAATAACCACCCACCTTCCCCATCTCTACCTATCACCCCCGCCGATGCTACCACCGCATTTTGATCTCATCCTACAGTCCTAACCGGAGACTAGTTCATTATTGTATTACCTTTCTGTTTGGATTGTGTTGTAACCCGATTTTTATATTAATAAATGTTTGTTTTTGTGTTTTCAATGTTTTTCTACTATTTTCGGCATCATTTGGTATCAGCGCTAGTCCAACCCTAATCTCATTCTAGGGTTTCCTCACATCTGCCACTACCCAATCCACCTCCATCAATTTTCAACCTTTTGATTCCCAAGCCCAGTCATGACATCGGGAAGAAATACACTGGACTTGACCCGGGAAAAGATTCAACGAGAAATTTGTCATTAGCAACAGAGACTAGCAGAGTTGGATGACAAGAACCAAGAAGATGTCACATTCGATAGTGATCGGGAAAGTCGAAGAGAAGACAGAGATGAGGAGATAAATCCGTTCCACAAGAAAGATCACAGTGATGAGGAATAACGACCACGTTATTCTGGTATCCAATATCAAAGAAGACAGATAAAAGAGCCCCCTTATGGAGGTCAGTGGGACTTTGGCCTCAAGATGGACATCCCTGAATTTGAGGGAGGAATGGATCCCGACGAGTTTATCGACTTGCTGCAGTCAGTCAAATAAATCTTCGAATATAAAGGCGTACCAAAGGACAAAAGAGTCGAGTTAGCTGCAATTAAACAAAAGAAGAATGTCTCCTTATGATGAAAAAATCTACAAAAGAGGGCAGGAAAAAGATAACTAAGTGGAAGAAGATGAAGAAGGCAATGCAGCAGAAGTACCTCCCACCTCAATAGCACCAAGACATGTTTCTAAAACTTCAACGCTTACAACAACGGGATTTTTCAGTTGAGAATTTCACAACCCAATTCGACCACTTGCAGTTGCAGTGCGAGCTGACGAAACCAGAGGAACATATGAAGCCAGATATCTCAAGGGTCTGCAACCTGACAGTAGCAATGTGATACGGTTGCAGCCATATTGGACGCTAGGGACGTCCAGACCCTAGCCTTGAATGTGGAAAGGCAACAAGAGCAAAGCCGGCAACAGCCATCCTTCAGACCATAATTTTCAGTTAAGCAGTCACCTGCAACTTCTACAACCGATAGAGGTACCTCAAGAGGAAATAACAAAATTGGACAGCAAACTAATAAGGCAGACAGAGTGGGAAGAAGCTAAAGAAAGGTGGTTCCTCCAATAAATTGTCAGCCAAGAAGTGTTTCAAGTGGCACGGCTACGATCACATGGTCTCCAGCTGCCCAACAAGCCGAGTCGCACACTCACAGATCAAGGCATCATCAAGAAAGTCAATGTGGAGTCAGAGGAGAGCCTGAAAGAAGAACTTCAGCTCAACGGAGATGAGGGAGAAGCGTTAGTCGTTCGACGAGTACTGCAGACCAAGCCAGAAAGAGACCATCCTAGTTAAGGCATAGCATTTTTCGCACCATGTGCACTGTCAAGGGGAAGTTCTATAGCCTGTATCAACAGTGAGAGCTGTGAGAACGTGGTGTCTACACTCCTGGTGAAAAAGTTGGGACTGGACACACAGAAGTATCCTCAGTCATATTCCCTTACCTGGTTGAATAAGAAAAATGAAATATGTGTGGATTAGCGATGCCCAGTTGATTTCTCCATCAGAGACCAACTACATGAACAAGTTGGTGTGACGTGGTTCCTATGGACGCTTGCCACTCTCTATTAGGAAGACCTTAGCAATTTGATCGCAAGGCTCAACACGACGGATTCAAGAACACTTATTATTCTTGAAAAGATGGGAGTCGTATCATTTTGCTACCTAGAAAGGATACAAAAGGCGAGACAAATGCAGATGCAGCCAGACCACTTTCCTGCACTCGGTTAGAGATGCCCCATAACACTAGCATTAGTCATCCTAGAAAGAGGCGGGGAAGAAAGAGAGGTACGAGCACTACTGCAGCCATTATTATAGAACTTTTGGGATGTTATGACCGACAGCTTACCGGAGGGATTACCGCCACTAAGGGATCCAACACGCTATAGACCTTATACTAGGATCCGTATTACCAAACCAACAAGCCTACAGATTGAAACTTGCAGAGTATGAAGAATTACAATGATAGGTGCAGGATCTCATCGCAAGGAGACAAGTCAGAGAAAGCGCCAGTTCATGTGAAGTACCTACCCTGACGGTGCCCAAAAGGGATGGATCTTCGCGGATGTGCATCGACAGCTGAGTCATCAACAAGATTACCACCAAGTATCGATTCTCCATACCCCGCTTGGATGATTTCTTAAACCAGCTACACGGAGCCACTATCTTCTCCAAAATTGACTTGCACGGGGGAAAACACCGAATACAGATGAAGTTAGGAGATGAGTGGAAGACCGCATTCTAGAAACGGAATGGACTTTATGAGTGGATTGTTATACCTTTCTTCCTGTCGAAAGCACCCAACACTTGCATGAAATTAACGAACCAAGTATTTCGGCCTCATGTTAGAAAAATTGTCATTGTTTACTTTGACAACATTCTAGTCCACAGCCGATCGGAGGAGGATCACTTGCATCACTTGAAGGCAGTATTCAAGGTACTGCGAGTCGAGCAACTACATGCCCATCTGAAGAAATGTCACTTCATGACAAGTCGGGTATGTTTTTTGGGTTACATCATATTTAATACAAACATACAGATGGATCCCGCAAAGATAGAGATCATTATCAGTTGAACAGCCCCATAATCGTCACCGAGCTAAGGCAATCCTTGAGACTAACATCATTCTATCGAATATTCATTAATAACTTCAGCACTATCACCTACCCACTAACTGAATTTTGAAGGACTACTACACTTCAACCAACTTTTCGAAGTAGAATGTGATGCCTCTGGCATTGGGATCGGAGCAGTGTTGTGACGGGGAGGACACCCCCATTAACTTCTTCAATGAGAAGTTGAATGAATCCAAAAGAAAATACTCGACATACGACAAAAAATTTTATGTCATTTTTAGGGCCCTAGAGCACTAGTGTCATTACCTACTAAGAAAAGAGTTCACACTATTTATAGATCATAAGGCCCTTAAAATTCCTCAATAGCCAGAGCAAACTGAAGGGTCGACACGTCGTTTGGAAGGAATTTCTAGCCTCATTTCAGTTCGTGCTAAATCAAAAGGGATTTAATAGAACCGCATAGCCGATGCACTGAGTCGTCGACATCTATTGATCAAATCCATGTAGGCTCGAGTTGTGGGCTTCAAGGTCATAAGGGATTAATATGAAACAAACGAAGATTTCAAAGAAATATGGGAGCAATGTCAGGAGAAGCCAGCAGGTCAATATTATTGCACAAATGGATACTTGTTCCACCAAAGTCGATTATGCATTAAGCCATTGTCCAGGAGAGCCCCAACGAAGGATTAGTTGGTCACTTCGGCAGGGACAAGACCCTCACCCTAGTAAGGGGGCATTTTTTTTGTCCCAAACTGATGAAGGATGTGGAGAGACATATCGGGAAATGCAGGATTTGTCACCAAACAAAGACAAGGGTTCATAACGCAAAATTGTACATGTCGCTTCCAGTACCAAGGCACCATAGGTTGACGTCAGCATGGATTTCGTGGTGGGACTTCCAAGAACCCAAAGGAACAAGGACGTCGTCATGATTGTGGTAGACAAATTCTTCAAGATGGCCCACTGTATACCTTATCACCGGACACTAGACGCCTCTCACATCGTCAATCCATACTCCAGAGAAATTGCACTGTTGCACGGAATTCCTAGGACTATCACCTCCGAACGTGATGCCAAATTCATGAGCCACTTCTAGAGGAAAGCTTGGCACCAAACCCCAATTCAGCTCGACAGCTCATCCACAGAAAGAGGAATAGACAAAAAAGTAAATCGGAGCCTCAGTAATATTATGAGGTGTTGTGTAGAAAAAAACATAAAATAATGGGATCTTATTCAAGCACAATTTGAGTTCTCCTATAATTGATCCATCAGCCAAACTACGAGACAAACTCCCTTCGAGATTGTGAGTGGACACAATTCACTAATGCCACTAGAATTGTTGTCTCTCCTACTATGTCGAAAATCAACAAGGATGCCAAAGAATGAGTCCAAGATTCAAAAGCTCCATGAAGTAGGCAAGGAGATTACTAAAAAGAACCGCAAATATTAGACACAGACAAATAAATACAGGAACAAAGTAACATTTCAGGAAGGAGACCTCATATAAATTTGGTTGAAAAAGAAAAGATCGCCCGTAGGATCATTCGGAAAGCTTAAGCCAAGAGCAGATAGACCTTTCAGTGTACTTTAGAAGTTGAATGACAACACTTATAAGATCGACCAGCCTGGGGACTACAACATTTCAGCCACGTTCAACATCACAGACTTAACACCATACTTTGGCGAACCTGAAGCTTCGACAAATGAGGTCAAAGCTTCCCCAACCCCAAGAAACTGGTGCAGGCGCTAAAACAACGCCCGGGTGTGAGCACTGTAGGCACCCCAAAGCAGGGCGATTCGATCCCACGGGGGTCGAGAAGGCACGAAACAGTGGCAGGATCGTGAATTTTCGTGATCCAGTATGGTGCATCACAAGGTTACCACGCTAAAGAAGACTTTTTTGGATTCTTCTGTCTTCCTTTGTGTGGGAATCTATAAATAGTTGTTTATTGTGTGTAAGAGTTGAGTTCTGGTTGTCTTGTCCTCAAATCTCCTATGCGGTGTCCCTTTCCCTCTTGCTAGGGTTGTATCCGACAACAGATAGTGCTCCGGTCGTATCCTGCTCCAAGGCGGTGTTGTATCCTTCCCACTATCTCCACTTCTCCCTGATCCTTCTCCTACCTCTACCCTAGCCGCCAACTACCCCCATATCCCTCCACCACTCAGCCACCACCTCTATTCCATCCAAAACCTTGTTGTCCAACTCACCTACAACCAACCAAACACCATCCCACCATACCCTAACAACCACCCGGCCTTCCCCATCTCTCCCTATCACCCCCACCAATACTACCACCGTCTTCGGATCTCTTCCTACAGTCCTACCTGAAGATTAGTCAATTATTGTATTATCTTTCTATTTGAGTCATGTTATAACCTGATTTCTATATTAATAAAAATTTGCTTTTGTGCTCCATTGTTTCCTACTAGTTCGGTATCAAATCCACTAGGCCAAAGCCCAATTCATAGAGTGGAAACATCCATATATATTTGTAAGCCAAGAGATTTAATATCTCCATAATTCGTGATCAATTTTTAAGTTGTAACAGTGCTTGTTGAATTTTCAGTAAGATTGGGAACCAAGAGAACATCAAATTTGGAGATCAATTATAAATTATATTTGATTAATTTAGGGATCGGTAAAGAGTGAATACCACATATTGAGTAGTGAGGCCCGTTCAAATTTCACCGTTATTCAAAGTAATGGAAGTAGAATGGAGATGCAATTAGTGAAAACAAACTAATGGTTTCTTACAGCTACCAGGTAACTTTGGACATCAAAAATAGCATATTCATAGTAGCAGATTTGTTTGTGATTTCTGACCTTGGAAGTGTAAAAGAACATTGTTTTATGAAGTATGCATGTGCTACAGGTCTTTTGGATAAATAAAACATTAAGACTGAAAGAGCTTCCAGTAATTAAGTATAAGTTCATGACTGGAGACTTGATTTATGGAATAAGTTGTTCCTAATTACATGGACACGTGCTTCACTTTGTGAAGATACCGCATAAATGCTGTAATGTATCCATGTTTGCTCTATTGCTTATGATAATTTGTCCACATCTTGAATACATGGCCTCATCTCGATGTGAACCCAAGTGTGATGGAGATATAGATGTATTCAAAAAGAAATAGTCAAGTGTGTCTGTGTGTGTGTGTGAGAGAGAGAGAGAGAGAGGTAGAGCGAGAGGAGAGGACGGAGAGACAACGTCAGATAATGACCTAAGCACATTAGCTCTTAGAACATAATCCAACAAACAGGGTCCAAGCAGAAGGCACAAAAAATCAGCCCACTAAGATGAACTTCATGTTTGAGGTGAGGGCAAAAAAAAAGCATTTTCCGATTAACCATGCTCCTAATGATATGCAGGTTAAGCAATCAATTAGCATAAATCATGCTTGGCTTTAACGATAAATCATCCTTGGGAAAAAATTTTCAAAATGGTGCATATCAATCTTATTAAACCTTTTCCATGGTTATATAATGGTTCCAAGAGTTATACAACAAACAATATCATAAGCCCATTCTCATCCAAAAGAGCAACAGATATCAAATGGGCGTTACAAAAAAACAAAAACAAACCGTTGGAAAGGTATCATTAGATGATTGGGATCTGTTCACATGGTCATTTGGATGAACAAACTTTTCACCACGTTTCTGGCCAAGAATTTCAGAAGCTCTATTTGCAATCACCTGTGGACCAAAAAAACAAAGAAAATTATATCAAGTAGCTAACGGATTAAAACGAAAAAAAAAAACAATGAATAAATGACAAAATACATTTTATAGATAACAGGAGAATATTAACAAACATAGATGAGGGGCTTGTACAATGAATTTTTAAGATTTAAATCTTTAGATGAAATGTTAGAATATAGTAAGTTGAAAATTCTTTCAATTGCTAAAAAAGATTGAAAGTTTTGCATTATGTGTGATAATCACAAGCATATACATTGCCAATGAAATCAGAACATTTCAAAAGGTTTTATATGTTTATATCGGACACAGAATGCCCCAACATGGGCAATACATGTTGAAATTTATATCAGATGAATGTCATCCAAATTTAGAGTCAAAATGTCAACAAAGAAAAGACGTACAATGACATGGAAAGAACAAGAATAAACTATTTAATTCAGTAAAATTTTAGATACAGATTGGAGGATCTATGGGTGTCTTTCTGTCAAGTTTGTTGGATCCAACTAGTGTTGTATAAATAAGTTATTTCTTTTAGAGATTATTTCAAAAATTATGTACTTTCTTAGGGGGATATTTATTTTGTGAAAATAGAATAATATTAAATTCATGCCAGCCAATTAATGGAAATGATGGTTTGTTGTTAAGGATTATATACACTTTATGAAAATTTGAAATTAAGTGACATTAAACCAATGTTAGTTTTTCTTTTGTGATCCTATGGCTTCTTATGTCACACATGTGATTAACCTTTGTGATGATTTTTTATAGAAAACATCAGCGTGGGGTACTTTAACTACAAATTTCATATTAATAATTTAGCATGAAAACAGTGTTCCCATGCCATTTTTTTTTTTACTAATTTTATTGCCAGCGGGTACCTGTGTTTGTATTGTCATTTCTATGTCATGTGTCAGTATACTCGCAGTGCCATAAAAATGCCCATTGGGTATTTCACTAGTCATATTTCCATAAAATGTCTAGATGATCCGCTAATCAAATAAGAAATTGAGAAAATTTTTATTGTGGGCTTCCTCTAGCACATTAGAAAAAGAGTCACGCCGAATGATGTACAATAAATCATGGAAAAAAGAAGCAAGGTGATGAACTGTGCCAAAGCCAACGTCTCAAATATACTATAAAGCCTATGCTCAGTTTATAGACCTTAATGCTGCACGTAAAAACAAAAAGAAGCATTTACATACATACCACTCAAGTCCTATGCAACATATCTAACACCAAAACTTTACTTTTTACATTTATAGCAGCCAAATCTTTCATGTCATGCGGCGTATATGTAAAATTTTAAATTGAGGTGTTAGATATGAAAAAAAATAGGATTTGAGTGGAATGTATGTAAATCTTCCAAAGAAAGCATATATAAAAGCAAAGATGCAACCTCATTCGCATTCATGTTGCTCTGTGTTCCACTCCCTGTTTGCCAAATTACAAGAGGAAAATGTTCATTCAACTTTCCCTCTGAAACTTCTTGAGCAGCTTGCATTATTGCTTTTCCTATAGTAGGATCAAGACCATACTCCATGTTCACCTGCATGGATAGAAACTTTGCATTACAGTTTCAAAGGTGTCCTTTGGCCACAATAGGTCAGATAGAAAGGTACATAAAATTTGCATCAAGTTACCAATATTAATTAAGGAACTCGTCAGAAAATTTTTCAAGCAAGTCCATATATTCATAAAACAAAAAATATTGATTGAGGATTCATTGGGATATTAAGAGATAACAGAAGATAAAAAATCAATTAGCTTTCTTACTACATCTTAACTGCAAAAAAACAAGGCAGACTATGATACATGAGATTTAAGGGAGTGTTGATTATTTACAAAAAAAAAAAAAAAAAAAAAAAAAACCCAAGTTGGGATATATAATAGATTCTCCTAAATGATGCTTAACACAAATCCTTTACATTAACTGCATTTTATAAGTACAATGGTGTGGAGAAAGTACAAATTACAGGACAAGTTCTGGTAAGAAAAAAGGGCTAAAGAGCAAAGTCAAATGATGGTAACACTTTGGCATGGAGGTACCTAGAGAACTGGAGATAAAACCCAAATATTGTTACGCGTGAAAGTTTGAATGGAAAAAACAATCTACAAAGAAATGACAGCAATGACATCGCACAACTACAGTGACGTTGGGCACAAAAACCTCATTGATGAATAACCACAAGGTGATTACTTCTTTCTTCAAATCAAGGAAACAGAGCAAAATGTAGTATCCTCATAACCAGAAGATAATGATTATGAAAGCATTAATATTTCTTGCATCATCTCAAACAGAGAGCCCTTCTTCAAGGCAGCTTTTAGCACCAAGCCTTCACCCTAGTGCGGCAAAAAAGTGCAGGTGTATCACAAGTGCACACAGGCAACAACTCTTTCCATAAAGGGACGTTTGGGATCATTTTTGTCTTTTTACTTTCTATTTGTTGTTTTTTTTTGTTTTGTTTATGTTTTGATTTGGACAAAACATGTTTGATTAAGTATTATTGCTCTTAAAAACACTCCAAACACCTGAAAGTTATTTTGAGTGTTTTCAAAAATATGGTAATTTGTTTTTAGAAATAAAATAGAAAAATATTTAAAAAACACACTAAAGAAACATATTTTTAAAAACAAAATAAAAAATAAAAATGATCCTTAACAAGCCCAACGAGAATGAGTCTTTTCACAATTATAGGGCACAACATATGTTCCAAAGCTGTCAAACACATCATCATCATCCATCCTTCTCTTTGAGATCATTGCAAATTGCCAAATACAAAAACAACAACATCACCATCACCATTATCAGCCTTATCATAATCCTAACTATTTGGGGTCAGCCTTTATGAATATTTTTTCATTATTTCATATTGAATGCTACATGAGATATCAAAATTAAATTTTGCAATTCATTTAAACCAAGCTCCATTCATATCACCTTCGGTTCACCTTTCCTCTTTCCTAATCTTCTAACGCAAAATTTAACAACCCATCCAATGGCTCATTTCTACTGTTCATCCAACATTTCCAAGCCACCTCCCCAGCTGCAGTTTTACAACCTTTACCAAGCCACCCTATAGGTAAGCACGAAGTTATTGCAGATCAAAAACACTCCATTTTTACATCCTTTTTTACAGTTAAATTCGTTGAAAAAGAAACAGCAGTACAGATAAAAGCTTGAATTTACTGCAGCGCAAAACATGGTACCTATAGAGTTATATTCTGCTTAGATCATTTCTAATCGAACCCTAATCATCACCGTTACTATCACACGATGCAAAGAAACTAGATCATGTATCACGGCATCGCATTTATAATATGAATCACTAGCTCACCTTGGCAGCACATTTCTTGAGGATTCCGAAGGCTCGGATGATCTGATCGGGCATCCGTTCGCGCTCCCCGCCGATATCAAAGTTCTGCAACGATCTCTGAGTCTGTGCTCCCCACAACCTGCCACAAAGCAAAAAATATGCAATTCGAGAAAGTGATAAAGCCCAATTCGGTTAACAAACGAGAAAAGCGGTACTGCGGAGGGGGGAGAATACTACGAACTTGTGAGCAGGAACTTGAATCGGGCCGAATGTGTCGCGTTCTTCCCTAAATACAGTCGAGATAGGTCTGGCAAGGGCAGAGCGCAGGAACGTAGAGAGAACTGCCGGCGCCGTAGCGCCAAACCGGAAAGCCCAACGTCGAGATGAACCGTACAAAGCCATAATTTTCCGATGGGAGGAAGCTGGTGGAGGTAAGAGGCGCGAGAATATGCAAAGGTGGAAATTTTGGTCTTAACGACGGAAAAACAGAAAGAATCAAAGGCGAGACAGGCGCTCACGGGTTTTATTTTGATTAAAGCTTAAACATCTTTCATACATGGATCTAAATCTTACATATAAGGTTTAACGCATCCACTATTGGTTGCTCTGAAGTGCAAGTTTGTACTCTATATCTAGAAAAAAATATTATATCAGGCGGAGTCCAATGAAATCACACCCTCGATGTCATCGGTCCGGTAAAGGGAATATTCCCCTCGTGTTATTCAAGTATTATTATATGTTATTCATGTGTTATTGTGTTTTGAAAATATTCTCGGTGTTATAATAATACAATAACATATCAATAATATTTGAATAACACACAATAACATCTGAATAACACACAATAACACATGAATAACACGAGGGGAATATTCTATTGTGTTAACGGGCCGATCACCTCCACGGCATAATTTTATTGGACTCCGCACGTAGACGTAACTCTACGTGCAGAGTCCTGATGTAATATTTTTTCCTATAATTAAAAATAAAGATATTTTGATTCAAAATAAATTTTTGATGATATTTCTCCCAGAACACTAACAATAGAAACATTTCTCCAAGTTCTATTTTTACAAGCCATATCAAACTTACCAAATTCTGAACCTAAGATTCATGACTATTTGAGAACTTGCATAATGAATTATTACCTTTTATGGCATCCATGTATGATGGATTATGCTTTATTTATTATATTTATTTGAAAATTCATTCAAAAGTAAAAAGATTATATAAAACCAACCATTGCGCAAATTTTACCCTGGAATGCCAAGGAAAAGTCTTATGAATTATGTATATATAATAATTTGCTATAAGTGTCATGTTCCCCCACGCTTTGTTTGTCATTTGTTGAGTTGGCTCAAAGTCCCCTGGGGTTGGGGGTCTGGGGTCGGGTTTGATCCCACTAGTGTGCGGATTGAGTGGTTAAACACGTGAGATTGGATGAGAACTCATATCACAGCCTCTGGTCAATTTTTACATATATATATTATTTTATTATTAATTTTTTTTCTAGAAGGATTGCATGAATTAAAAATGTGTTTGTATAGTTGTTTCCTGATTTGAAAAGATTTATATTATAAAGGTACATTAAATTGATCCATGCTTAGGTAGACAAATCGAAATCAAAAGTTCATAAACTTATTTTTCAATAAGATAGACTATGGCTTACTTTAAAATGAAGAGATTATGGAATATATGATTTGGTACTAAGTACATTTGAAAACAAGTTAAGAATGTTTACTAAATATTTTCTAGTTATTTATATGTCTTTAGGCAAATTCTTAGATCTTGTAGAATCTAACTGTTTCTATAAAACTTTTTTTTAGAATTGACTTTAAACTCATATGAATTTTATTTTACATAAACTTGCATTTGAAATGAGAGTTTTAGTAAAATAAATCCAATAATATAAAAAAAAGTATTAATTTGAGTTCAGGTGCTCATTTTCATCAATAAGATTGATTCTCACTTCTAATATCAATATCAACCCTTATCTTTATCACCAATGTTGTCATTTGTCATTGTCGATAATTAGGAATATGATGATTGTTAACACTATTATTGATGTCTATCATTGCTAAAAAGATTGATGTTCACTCTCTATATTAATGTTGATGTGACATCACTATCAATACTGATACTCACATCATCAAAAAATATTATACTGACAATTAGCAAATATGAATGCCCACTATTTTCACAAAGATTGAAGCTCACCAACATCAACAAACTTAACAATTGTCATTGCTAGTAATTTTGTTGCTCTCCATTGACATTAATACTGATGATTATTACTATTTATTATAACCCAGCTCAATATAATTCATATGTAGTAGAAGGTCATACATGGTCGAGAAATTTTTTAGATTTACTTGAAATAATCTTTGTATCATGAAAAATTTATAATATAAAATCACTAAATCATCAAAATATAATATCGAGTATAAGTCATCATCTCATTTTTACATATAACAAAATATGTATAAAAGTTTGATATATAATAATTATCAAGCTTGATAAAATTTCATAAAATATAACTATGTATTGAATGACTATAATTATGTTTATAGATAATAAAAAATATTTTTTTTTCTGTTTGCAAAAATGATGATGTCACTTTATTGGGCCCTTAACCTTCACTAAAAAAA